GAGCAGAAGGAAATGGAGGAGGATGAGGAAGGAGGAAGAGGAAGAGGAGGAGGAAGAGGAGGAGGAGGAGGAGGAGGAGGAGGAGGAGGAGGACGAGGACGAAGAGCAGCAGGAGTTGGAGTGGAAGGAGCGGGAAGAGCAGGAGAACCAGGGGAAGGTGGAGGAGGGGAATTTGGGGAGGCAACAGTTATGATAACGGATTCGGAAACAGAAAAATGCCCCGCGCTGGGGTGAGAGCGCCATTCTGAACGGCAGGAACAGGGCGCCGATCCGAGAAAGAGGTTCACGCCGCAGCGGGAACACCATTTTGAAGCACCGAGAAGAATCACCGTGTGGAACCCTGTATCTAACAAACAATGCGCGGAGAGGGCCGAATATTTTCCAAACAGGGGGAGAGAGGGGAGTAATGGAGGATGACGATTAATACATGACTGGGGCTCGTGTTCACGCGGCGGCGCCTGGGATGACGATTAGAAAAAAACAGCCGCGGGCTGGAACACTAGTCTTTTTAATCGTTCTCCTCCAGTCAGAAAATTATGCAGAAATAGCAGGGAACTATTTTTTACTCGTTCCCCTCAATTTTTTATTAATCGTTATCCCGCATTAGTATTCGTAGTATTCAGAATGTGTAGTGGTGAAAGAGGAGGAGGAGGAGGAGGAGGAGGAGGAGGAGGAGCAGCAGCAGCAGCAGTAGCGGCAGCAGCAGTAGCGGCAGCAACAGGTGGAGGAGGGTAGGGGAGGGAAGGAGAGAGAGGGAGGGAAGGAGGGGGGGAGTAGGGAGCAGGAAGCAGAGAGGAGGGAGGAAAAAGAGGAGCCAGAGGAGCAGGAGGAGGAGGAGGAGGAGGAGGAGGAGGAACGGGAAGGAGACGGAGGAAGGTACAGAGGAGGGAGGAGGGAGCAGGAGGAGGTAGCAGGGAGTGGGAGGAGGAAGGGGTGGGGTTGGGACAGGGAGGGGGGGGGAGGGGAGAGGGATCGGGGGAGGAGGAGGAGGTGGAGGAGGAGGAGGAGGAGGAGCGCCCGAGCAAATCCAAGATGCATCAAGCATGCTGCAATGCAGAGGTGACCCCCCTCCCTCATGCGTGCCTACACATCGTCCCTGCCATTGCTGAGGCCGCCTCCCTCGGATGACGAGCGCCAGGTGGGCCTGCCACTCAGGCGAGACCCCTTGTGCAAAGGGCCCCCCTGCCACTTCTCGGAGGCTGATCGGCCTCCTCCCCTCACACGTCGATTGGCCGTTTTCGCTTCGCGCGAGGGCGTCGCGGCCGTCCTTTTGGCGGGTCCAGCTCCGTCGGCTGCGGTCCCAGGCCGTGTCCGCGAAGGGGCGGTTTACTCAAAGGGAGGTCTGTCCACCGCCGAGCTTCTGCCAGAGGAAACGCGAGGATGCACAGCGCGAGAGCTGCAGGACGTGCCCAGGCCGAAGCTCCCCTCCGCGCAGAGGATCCGCCCTCCGCCCGTGCAGGCGCTGCACGCTCGAGGCGTGCGGGGGCGCGCGGGCGGCCCACCCGAGAAGGCCCCACTGCGAGGAGGAGGAGCCGACCTCCGTGCGTGCAGGCCGCTGCACGCGGCGGGAGGGCGATCAATGCAGAGGTCGTGGGGCGCATCCAGCGGGAGCCACACTTTTGGAAGGAGTTGGCCTCCACGAAGCTCCTCCTCCTCCTCCTCCTCCTCGTCTTTCTCTCCTCCTCCTCCTCCTCCTCCTCCTCCTCATCCTGCTCCTCCTCCTCCTCCTCGGCCTCCTCCTCCTCCTCCTCCTCCTTCTCGGCCTCCTCCTTCTCGGCCTCCTCCTTCTCGGCCTCCTCCTCCTCCTCCTCCTCCTCCTCCTCCTCCTCCTCCTCCCTTCCTCCTCTTCCTCCTCCCCTCCCCCCATTTGGCGCATCCAGCGGGAGCCACATTTCGCTGCTGCAGGCGCTGAAGCCGAGTGCGCGCGGCGCCGAGAAGACGGGCCCACTGAGGAAACCGCCGGCCCTCCATCCTCTTGCGGCTGCCGCAACGTTTGAACACGAGTTCGTGTGGCGCTCGTGCGAGGGCCCAATGCTGAGAACGACTGGCCCTCCGCCCTTGTGCTTAAGTCGGGCACGTCCCTGAACAGAAAGACTATTCGAGAACTGAAAAAGTAGTATGGTGACGATGTCACGTGTTCTGGTGTTTCTGTTTGAGCGTGCGTTGATTATTGTTCTGTCCGAGTCCGCCTGTAGGAGGACATACATGCCCGACCCAACCCTTGCGAGTGTTGCATACTTCTGCAAACGTCTGAGACAAGTCTACGCGGCGCGAGGGCGAGAGCCCAGTTTAGCCTCCATCACTCCCGATCTCGCTCCCGATCTCGCTATCGATCCCACTGTAGATCTAAGTGTCGATCGCACTACTGATGCCAGTGCCGATCTCACCATCGACCTCACGATCGATCTCACGAACGATCTCAAGATCGATCTCACGATCGCTCTCACAATCAATCAGTTCCACTATCGAAGTCAGTCAATCGATTTCACTGTGGATCTTGCTATGGATCGCACTATCGATCTCGCTGCCGATCTCATGATTGATCTCGCTCAATCGGTCGCACTATCGATCCCAATATCGGACACACGATCGATACCACGATCGATCCCTTTCAATGGATCGCACCATCGATCCCATTGTCGATCTCACTATCGATCTTGCGATGGATCTGACTACCTATCTCCCTGCCGATCTCACGATCGAGCTTACTTTCCGATCTCACGATCGCTAGCATCTCATAGCATAGCATATAGCGTAGCACCGGACACCCCCGCGCCACGGGACACCAGGGGACACCACGGGACACCATCGGGACACCATCGGGACACCATCGGGACACCATCGGGACACCATCGGGACATTATCGGGACACCATCGGGACACCATCGAGACACCATCGGGACACCACAGGGCCACTGGTGGCCAACCCGGGAGACAGCAACGTTTGGTTCGGTTTCGCTTTGGCAGCGGCGGGTTCATTCGTCTCGCTCGCCCACGCAGCTTCGCCTCGCCCGCACGCACGACACGAACGTGAATCCGACACCGATTTCCGTTTGGGAGGGGTTTTCGTTTCATCGCGACCTCACCCCCAGCCGCCGACAGAGAGAGAGAGAGGGAGCGAGAGAAAGAGAGAGAGAGAGAGAGAGAACCAAACGAAGATAACGAAGAAGAATGAGAAAGGTTGTGTTTGGAGAGAAGGAGAGAGAGAGAGGAACATATAGTAATTATACTGGACTAGAACGTACATTCGACTTAGACCCAGGGTGGGAGGAAGGCCGATCGAGGCACCTGCGACAAAAATCAAAAATACGCTGATTGGGATTTTCCCTGGTGCAGGTGTGAAGGCCACCATCCCTACACCCGCGTGGCCTTCGGAATGACGTGACAATTCCAGGAGAGCGCAGCGCCAGAACACCTCGAGCAAGGCGCACCGCCCGGCCCACGGGCACGTCTGGTGGTGTGACAGGGTGGGTTACCCGTGAGGAAGAGGGACGGACGAGAACCGGAGCAAACCCAGGATGCATCCACGATGTGGCGACACACTTTTGTCGGGCATGTCCCTCTACAGGAGGAATATCCAAAACTAGCGATAACAAATAGATTGGCGACGATTCTGGGAGTCTTTTGGGGTATGTTTCAAATATGGTTTGGCTATCTATTGTTTTTCGTCCAGAATCCGCCTGCAGGAGGACTCGCCCAACCGACCTAACGATACACCTTCCCGTCCCAAGTCTGCTCTTTGCGAGCCCCCCAGGAGCGCTCCCGCCATCTGTGGTGTACACGCCTGGCGCTCGCATCGTCTCGGTGCAGGCGGGCCGCGTCAGAGTACTACACGCGCACGGTACCCACGACTGCGCGGTAGGTCGCACTGGAAGCCTAGCAGCAGGTGTGGACCCACCCGTTCCCCCCCGCAGCACCCGCCCGAGACGGTAATTGGAGCGGAGAAGCTTGCGCAGCAGGAAGCCGTCCAGCAGAGGGACCTGGCATCGCTCGGACGTGCGCATTTTTCTCTCGGCGAGGGCCCTGGAGGAGCATCCTGGATCATCGAGCAAACAAAAAACACGCACGAAACCGAAAAATGCACAGGGAATGGACGTCCGAGCGATGGCAAGAGGATGAGGAGGAGGAAATAGGAGTGGGAGGACGAAATGAGGAGGCGGCACATGAGGAAGCAGGACGAAATGAGGAGGCGGAGGAGTATGTGAGGGGGGGGCGCGTGGGGAATGCGAGGAGGAAGAGAAGGGTGTGGGACGGTATGTTGGACGAGGTGAGGAAGCAGGAGGAAGATAGCGACAACGACGTCGGCGAGAAGGGCGGAGCAAGGACGACTGGAGAGGTCGCCTCCCTCTTCTTCAAGGGTGCGGCCGACCTCTGCTTGCTGGAGTTGGACACCACGAAGCTTGCAGGCCTGCACGCTACGAGCCAGGTCAGAGCACGAGGAGAGTGGGCTGGAGGAGGCAGGTGCATGGGGAGGAGGCCAAGCTACCCAGGCCGAGCGAGTCAGCGGGCCCCACCCATTCCCACCCTCCCTCCCGCAGTACAAGATGCAATGCTGGCGCGACCGGAGACAGTCGGGGCCCTGAAGAAGGAACCCTTTTCGTTGGGGAGGGGCTCCGCGTTCCTTGAGTGTTGCACAGCTTGCCTCAGGTGTTCCTGAGGTTTTCGACAGGAAATCGAAGTCTAACTTATGGAAAAAGGGGGCCTCGTTCCCTATTTAGGGTTCCTTAGGTCAACGCCCCGACTGTACAAGATTCAATGCTGGTGCGACCAGATATTGGGACCGGCGCACGTCCCCACTGAGCGAACGAACGACGTCCGCGCGTGGTTCCGCTCCCGACGACTTGTGGGGGCCGGCCGCGCACGGGCGGCAGCGGAATTATGTCAGAGAAGAATCCGTGCGTAGCTCTCCAGCGAGAGCACCATTTCTGTCCTCTCGCGCGCGGCCGACATATTCGGCGGCGAGCGAGGGAGGGGAGGAGGGAGGAGGAGGCGGCCTTCTCAGAAGGCTCGAAAGCCTCCTGGCCGTCTGAGAAGTCTTCGGAGCCTGCCCCGAAGACACAACCAGTCTCTCAGAAGGCGCGAGGGCTTCTGAGAAGTCCCGCCGCCTTCTGAGAGGGACTTCTCCTTCTCCCTCCCTCCCTCCCCTCGCTCGCCGCCGAAACATCCCGACGATAGCGTGGAAGACAAAGAGCAGGCGCCGCGCCGAAGCAGCGGCACCACTCTCACGCGGGATCCGTGTGGCACGAAGGCCGGCACAACCTTGTGCCCGCGCGCGCGACCCCGTTGCCGCCGCCCGACGGTTCCACGAGCGAAGGGGAGGCGCCGCGCCCGAGCGGGCGTGCCACTTGCGTTCGGAGTCTGCACGGAGCTCGGGCGAGGGCGCAGCTTCGCTCGCTCCCGCGCTGCCCCGCTTCCAGCAGCGGCTGCGAGAGCGGAGCCGCCGCGCCCAGGCGGGAGCGCGCCACGTTCCGGGAGCATCTGCGCGTTTCGCTCCTGGCCGAGGGTGGCAGTTTTCGCTGGCTCGGGGCGCGTCCCTGCCGTGAACGAATGGGCGAGCGGAAAAAGCACGACGCGCCCTCCTCCTCCTCCTCCTCCTCCTCCTCCTCCTCCTCCTCCTCCTCCTCCTCCTCCTCCTCCTCTTCCTCCTCCTCGTCCTCCCTCTCTTCTTCCTCCTCTTCCTCCTCCGCCTCCGCCGGAGCCCAACGATCAGGATCAATTAGTGCGGCGCCGAGGCGACAACGACGTTCTGCACTCTCGCTCGCGCGATGTGCGCCGCGCCCCACTGCGGCCACACAGTCTGCAAGGTCGACGACACATCGTCCATGTCGAAAAGATAACGTCGACTTTGCACTGCTTGTGGTATGTAGGATGGAAGGTCCCGGATATGACCGTCATCGGCCCGCCAGTCGACATGTCTAGTGGCTTTCGGACCATCCCGCCACCGTGCGGAGGTTGTACGTCAGAGGCCTCTTGAATGCCTGTGGGGAGTTCTTGAGAGGCATCTCAGAATTATTTGTTGATGCGATGTTGATGGGTTCTTGGAGCCTCTTGACGGAGAATCACTGACCTTTTCCTCTCGGAGCCCTCTTGGGGGGTCCTCTTGAAGCCCTCGTGGGGCTTCTTGGGAGCCTCTTGGGCTATCTGGAAGGCATCGTGGGCAGTCTTTCGGCCTTCTGGGGCCGTCTCGGGGCGCTCGTGGACCCGCCTGAGAGCTTCTCAAGAAACCTCAGGAGCGCTTCGGGTCGCTCTGGGCGGGCTCAATATTCTGGGGGCCCACGAGACCAAACCCTGGGAGCGCCCAGGAATTCCAGGAAGTTCGTGGCCCAGGCCTTCACCTCACAAAGCTACTCGTCACGGCTCACAAAACTGCATGAGCCTTGGGGCAATCCACTACGAGCTGAAGGCACGATGGCGTGTACGACTAAGGAGTAAGGTTGAGAATCGAACATCATGAAGCGTGATGGTGATGATGTGGGTGGTGGTGATGATGGGGAGGACGAGGGGGATGAGCCTCGCCGACGACCACGACGGCGCCGGCGGCAACGACGTCGACTGCGGTGGCCCTTCGAGACGGCGCGCGGCGGAGGCCCGGTCAGCTGGTTCGTAGGAGCGATGGGCGACCGGCCGCCCGCTGCGGCGCAGCGCCCGGCCGGCGGCGCGACGGCGATCCACTACCTCATCGCCGACGGCTGCGTCCACGCGTGCCTCACGGGGGCCTCCAAGCGGTGTGGTGAGGAGGAGGAGGAGGAGGAGGAGGAGGAGGAGGAGGAGGAGGAGGAGGAGGAGGAGGAGGAGGAGGACCACACACCGAGTCCTTCTCCGAGGAAAAATGTCTCGAGCGGCCGGGGCCTCCAAGGGCCCAAAACCGTGAGGAGTCGCGGACCGCGTGTTGAGGACGCCAGGGGTTCCGAGGCCACCACGCGGCCCCCCTCGTCTTCGCCCGCGTCGCGCCGGGGGCAGGGTGCACGTCGACGCGCCTCGAGGAGGGAGAGAGGAGCCGACGCCGCTGCCCTCGCCTCGCTGTCCTCCTGCTCCTGGGCCCCCTGGGAGGCCCCTCGCCGCCACGGCCGGCCTCGCCTCGACGCTGCGGTGCGGCGCCGCGCGGGCCCCGAGAAGCCTCCCGAAGGCTTCTGTATAGGGGGGGCCCCTCGGAGCCTCCCGCCGCCCCCGGGGCCTCGCGGGCGATGGGGGGGGGGGGCGCCGGCCGGGGGGTTGGCCGTGGGCCTCTCGCTCGTGGGCCGCTCGTGCGTCGTTCAGGGCGAGGGCGAGGGCGGCGAGGGGGACGAGGCCGTCGGCCAGGGAGGGAGGGAGGGGGGGGGCGGGGGAGGGATGGGGGGAGAGGGAGGAGGGGGGAGGAGGAGGAGGAGGAGGAGGAGGAGGAGGAGGAGGAGAGGAGGAGGAGGAGGAGGAGGAGGAGGAGGAGGAGGAGGAGGAGGAGGGCGAAGAGGGGGGGAGGGAGAGAGGCCACCACCGGGGGAGGGGGGGGGGGGAGATGGCCCGGGCAGGAGGGCGAGGAGGGGGAGGGGCGAGGAGGAGGCGCGAGGAGGAGGGGCGAGGCCGAGGGGACGAGCTCGGACGCGGAGGAGGGAGGAGGGAGAGTGGTTCAAGCAGTGGCGAAGCGTCCTGGCTCCCCTATAGCCCCACCAAACAATGTTCTAACAACCTTTGGTGTGGTTTCCACGTAATGTTCTTAGAACATGTATGGCTGGGACTGGTTTGTTTTAACACATCGGGTTTATGTTCCAAGAACATTGTCTTTGTTCTTAGAACATTTTTGGGTTCTAAGAACATTTCGTGGTATGACTACAGGAATGCCGGGACGGTCGGTCCCTGCTCAAATATTTGACATCGCATCCCTTCCCATTGCGCTATCTTTTCTCCGCAGAAGACCCCATCGCGTTGCCGGAAAAAGGAAAAACTTGTGGGACCCGTGCGACCGGGGGGACCTCTGCGGCCCGCGGGGACTCTGAGGCCTGCGACGCCTGTGGGGCCTGCGGCACCTGTGGGGCATGTGGGACCTGTGGGGCCCGTGGCACCAGCGGGACCTGCGGGACCTGTGGGACCCGGGAGGCCTCTGCGGGACCCGCGAGACGTGCGACGCCTCTGGGGCCTGTGGGACCCCTGCGGGACCTGCCGGACCCGTGGGACTCGTGGGGGGCCTGCGGCACCCGTGGGGCCCGTGGAACCTGTCAGAGCGGTGGTGCCTGTGGGACCTGCGGGAGCCCGTGGGATCCCCAAAAAACTGGCCCACGCTGGGGCGGGAGCGCCATTTATGAACGACGGGAGCACGGCGCCGACCCGAAGATGAGGGCCACGTTGCAGGGAGAGCACTGCTTTTGAACAAAAACGGTGGATGGTTAAAACAAAAAAATATGTAGGAACAAACAAAAAAAAAAAAAACGAGTTCGCGCAAATCCTGTGTGCATCTTTCTGAAAGGTTGGCGAACACTGAACACTCTCAGCACATATTCGTGGGAGAGAGGAGATTAGCATTCGTGAGGTGGAGGAGGAGGAGGAGGAGGAGGAGGCGGGAGGAGGAAGGAAGGAAGGACGGAAGGAGGGAAGGGAAGGGAAGGGAAGGGAAGGGAAGAAGAGGGAAGGGAAAAGAAGGGGAGAGGACGAAGGTGTACGGGAGGGAGCCAGGTTATCCCGTCGGCCGCGTCGCCCATCCTAGTGGACCAGCATTCAATAGTCGGTCGACCCCCAGGACCAGGATCTCTCCTGGGGTGCGGCCTGGCGAGAATTCCGAACCCAGTCCGGCGGTGGCCACGAGGCCGCCCCAGGGAGTCCAAGCGCATCGATCCGCAAACCTCGCCGCCTCCCTCTCATTTCGTCCTCCCTCCCCTTTCGTCCTCCTCCGTTTCCTCCTCCCTCCCGCCGCTCCTCCCCCTCCTCCTCCTGCTCCTCCACCTCCCCCCCGCGCCCTCCCCGTGCCGAAGCTGCTCAGAGCCCCTTGCAGGAGCTTTTTTCTGAGGACGCACGGGGCGCCACCGAGGGCGCGTGCTGCGCGCCCGAGGCGCGCCTCAGAGAAGCGCGCATGCGTGAAAAACAGCGTGTCGACAGCAGCATGGCGGCCACCGCCTTTACACCACCCCCGGGCCTCGATCTGTCGAAGGGGCCCCTTCCCCATATAAAACGACGCGAAGATCGGGACAAAATCGGATCGGGATAACTCGAAATCTCCAAGAATCGGCGGGTTTGGAGGATGTATTGGGCGCCGCGGCCGCTCCAGAGCGTTCCGGAACGCTCTGAGAGCGCTCCGGAACGCTCTGGAGCGATTTATCCCGATCCTAGCCCTGTTTTACCATAGTGCTGCAGGTCAGCCGAGGCAGTAAGGCGTCCGCGGTGGGGCCTAAAGTGGCCGCCCGACCCAGCTGGCCCAGCCCCCTCTTCCTGCCCCTGCCAGCCCAACCGCAGGCAGCCACCGGTTGCCGATCCCTTCCCACATTGTTCTCCCGCGGCTCCGCCCAAACCCAAGCGGCCCAACCCCCAGCAGCCCGCTTCACTGCCTCTGCTTTCCCCCTATCCTTGGTAGAGCTCGCCGCCCAACCCCTAGCATGCCCAATTCATGACAGGCGCTGTGGAGTAGGGTGCCAGCCGGCCAGCCCGCTTCTGCCCTGCCACCAGATGGCACACCTCGTCGTCATGATCATCATTGTCATCATTATCACCGCCAGCCGAATCACCATCATCATCACCATCATGAGCATCAGCAGCATCATCACCGTCGTCATCTGCGTCATCACCATCTGCATCACAGTCATCGCGGGCACTCTGGCAGGACTGTGGGCGAAGGTTGCACATTGCATACCAGATTCGCTTGCGGCCCGGTGCTTCGGCGAGGTGGGCTCCACAAACACGGGTAGAGTTCTCCGTCCTACCCCCAGGCTGGCCCGCTTCACTGCATGTTTCTCTGCCTTCTCTCCACAGTGCCGTTTTTAATGTATCAAAAATGTATTACAAATGCAGGGTTGTAGTATTAAAAACAACGATGAGTTCATGCATGAATTCATTCATACATTAATCATGTATTAAACATCCTATATGTATAACATCCTATGTATTAAAAACTGTCCCGCATGGTACGCTGGGCTACCTTCGAGGACCCTATACGGCGGGGTAGGGCACCGTGGAGTAGGGTGCCCGCCGGCCAGCCCGCTCCTGCCCGGCCACCAGATGGCACACACGATCATCACCATCATCATCATCACCACCACCACCATTATCATCATCAGTATCATCATCATCATCATCATCATCATCATCATCATCATCATCATCATCATCAGCATCAGCATCAGCATCAGCATCAGCATCGCCAGCAGCACCAGCACAAGTTGCAGGCAGCATCAGCATCAGCATCCTCAGCAGCATCAGCAGCATCCTCCTCATCATCATCAGCAGCAGCAGCATCATCAGCATCGCCATCATATATTTCATTATCATCGTGATGAACGTAACCATAAGCATCCTCATCGCCGCCAACAGCATCACCATCATCAGCTTGATCCGCATCAGCATCATCAGCATCACCATCCCCATCAACACTGTCAACATCACCACCAACAGCTTTAACATCACCAACATCATCATTCCATGCAACCAGTATCATCGTCGTCATCATCGCCATCGTCATCGTAATAATCACCATCATCATCAGCATCATCACCATAGACATCATCATCATCATCATCATCAGCATCAGCATCATCATCATCAGCATCAGCATCAGCATCATCATCACCATCATCATCACCATGATCATCATCGTCAGCAGCATCGTCATCATCACCATCATCATTGTCGTCAGCATCATCATCATTGTCGTCATCATCATCAGCATCATCATCAGCATCATCATCTCGATCGTATCTGGTGTGGGCGAAGGCTATAGGCTCGTTGTTTCGGCCAGACAGGCCCAACAAACACGGCTAGAGTGGTGGCATCAGCCATTCGCAGTTTGTAGGTTATTTCTGGAGTCTTCCTTGGTGGGATGGCGGCAACGGCTGTCCGGGTCCACCATTGTTCCGCTGCTTAGCCTACTCGGTATCAGCACTACCACCAGATGGCACATCATCTCCGTCGTCACGGGAACTCTGCCTGGGCTGTGGGTTGTGCAGTGCATACCCAAGTAGCCAGCGGCTCGATCTTTCGGTCAGACCGGCTCAACAAACACGGTTGGAGCTCAGGCATTCCAGGCCGCACGGTGTTAGGCACGATTTGGGGAATATTGCTAGGACCGTGGGCTAAGGGTCATTCCATTGCACACCGACCCACCCAATTCGCGGTCCGTCAATTCGGCCAGACCGACTAAACATTCATGGCAGGGTTCCTGGCATTCGCAGCGTTGCACCTGTGTTAGGCCAGGGTTTTTGGCTATCCGAGGAGTTGGGCGGTATCGTCTGCCAGATTAGACCATTCGTGCTGGTGTGCCGCCGAGCTTGTTCCTGCACCTAACCCAACCAGCCCCCAACGAATTTCTGGCGGTGCCAGCTCCCCATAGGAGCCATGAGGAAGCTGCTCGCGCCTCCTCGGCGCCCTCCCGCCGCCCCCCCCCGCTTCTGAGCTGGCCCCACCCCATATCAGGTCCCTTCTCCCCCGCAGGGCCCCCCCCCCCTCTTCTTCCGAGCTCCTCTCGCTCTTGCATGCCCGTCGCGCTGCTGCACCGTGCCTTCGGAATTCACGCTCGGGGGGGTTGGGACGGAAGAGGCAATTTTCTGCACTGTCACGCGTTGGCTAGCCGTCGGCACTGCCCAGTGCAGGCCGCCACTCCTGCACAGTCCTACGGTGAGTTTAGCTAGGGTTCGCCCTCGCTACAAACCAACGCTAAAAGGCTGCGAGTTGGGGCTTCCCCGGGCGAGGGTGTCCCCCCTTGGCATTCCCTCTTCGGCACATGGACTGCTCAAAGGCGGCCCGCTCGCAGACCTGGCAGTTTGGTCAGTGATCCACGCCCCCCCTCCCCCAGCGACTGGCGGCGAGGTATTGCGGCGGCGGCGTGAGCACAAACGCCATCGTCAGAGAGGCCCCCGTACCCCTCGGAGCCGACGGCAGGCACGAGCTCCCCGCCGCCGTCCTCGTCGCCGCCCCTCGCCGGCCGCCGCCCTCGCCGCCGCCGTCCTCGCCGCCGCCGTACTCGCAGCCGCCGTCGACGCCGCCGCCCGCCACCGTTCTCGCCGCCGCCGTCTTCGCCGCCGCTGCCGGCGTCCTCGCAGCCGCCGTCCTCGTCGCCGCCGTACTCGCCGCCGCCACCGCCGGATCGCAGGGTCCGACGCAGTGAGAAGCTCGACGAGGAGGGTGTTGCTTGGCTTTCGGCCCCCGGGGGCCTGGCCGCTGGGCCCCGCGGGGCCGTCCCAGAGGCGGCTCGGGATGCTCGGCCTGCCGCTGGGGAAAAGGGTTGGGAATCCTGGGAGCCACGAGCGTCGGCTACACGTGAGAGTGACCTTTCGCCGGAGTGACCTCTGGTGCGGGCCTCATGGGGTCCCCGATCGCCGAACGCGATGCGATGGTAGCGCTTTGCGCGCTTGTGTTTGGCCCCCCCGCGGCCCGGCAAGAGCCGCGCACCAGAGGTCACTCTCCCAGGATCACTCCTGCGTGCAGCCGAGAACGGAAGCGAAAAACAAACATCGGATCTCCAGGCCGCCGCCGTCGTCGCCGACGGCGTCGCCGCCCGCAGCGGCGTCCTCGGCACTGTCAGCACCGCCTGCGTCGCTCTTTTGGACTTTCCCCCCCCCCCCCCCCCCCCCCCCCCCCCCCCCCCCCCTTAGGGAAGCAAATAATTACCCTACCGCTGCTCCCCGGACCTCTCTTGGGCTGCGCTCTGACCACGAGGCGGATCCAGCCGTGGCGGCGAGGGCCTCCCAGGAGGCCCAATATCGGGCGAAAGCGAGGCGAGGGTAGCGGTATCGGTTCCCTTCCCCTCTCGAACCGGATCGGGCCGGCTGGAACCGACACCGAATCGGATCGATCGGCTCGACATGCTCCCTGCCCCCCTTGCCCGACGAGGGTGAAAGCGAGGAAAGGGTAGCGGTATCGGTCAAGCAGTGGCGAAGCGTCTTGGCTCGCCCATAGGCCCACCAAAGAAAGTTCTAAGAACCTTTTGCGGTTTGCACGACATGTTCTTCGAGCATGTTTGGCTGAGACAGTCGTGCGTTTACACATCTCAAGCAGTGGCGAAGCGTCCCAGCTCGCCTATAGGCCCACCAAATAATGTTCTAAGAGTTTTTCGTGGTTTGCACGAGATGTTCTTAGAACATTCCTGGTTGAGACTGTCTTGTTTTAACACAGTGGCCTAATGTTCCGAGAACAGTGCTTTTCTTATTGCAACATTTTTGGGTTCTAAGAACATGTCGTGGTAGGACTCCAGGAATGCAGGGACGGTCGGTCCTGCTCAAACATCGGGCTTATGCTGTACGAACATTGCTGTTGTTCTTAGAACGCTTCTGGGATCTACGAACATGTCGTGGTAGGCCTTTAAGGAATGCCGGGACGGTCGGTCCCTGCTCGAATCGGTGCCTCTCTCCTTCGCCGGCGGCGTCGTCGGCGCCGCCCTTCGTCGCTCCGTCGCCGCCGCCCCCGCCATCGGCCGGCAGGCACGTGTTCCCCGACTGGCTCTGAGAGCCGCGCCTCGCCGGCGGCGGGGCGCGCAGAGGGCGGCGGCGCGCGCGCGCGCGCGCCCTCGCCGCGGCCACGCGCAGAGGAGGAGGAGGAGGGAGGAGGAGGAGGAGAAGGAGGAGGAGGAGGAGAAGGAGGAGAGGAAGACGAGGAGGAGGAGGAGGAGGAGGAGGAGGAGGAGGAGGAGGGAGGAGGAGGAGGAGGAGGAGGTCCAGTGTAAGCCCAAGAGTCATCAAAGATGTTGGAATAGACCCTCCCTCCAAGCTCCCACTTCACAGGCCCCATACAACGGTTCACTTCCACCGAGGGAGCTGCCTCGTTGGAAGACAACCGTCTGAAGACCTTGACGTCATCGCCACGGATCAACCTGATCGTTGCGTCTTGACGATCCTGAATCGTGCCAGAACGCCATTCTTGGGACTTCAGAACAGCGAATCAACGTACATGCTGCACCATCGTGATCCTGAGTCTTTCCAAACACCATGCTTGGTACGCTGATCATGGGAATCCGTGAAGCTCTTGCAACTGCTGTAGAAGAATACTCGCGCCGCTAAGGCGAGAGCCACATTTTGAAAAGGAACCGCCCTCAATACGTGAAACAAATGTTGAAAACAAATGCGCGCGGCGCGAAGGCAAGAGCCACATGTTGAAAACCATCCGCCCTCAATTCGCGAAATTCTTGCATGATTGTCGAACGAATATGCGCGGCGCTAAGACGAGAGCCACATTTTGAACACCATCCGCATTCAATCCGTGAAACTCTTGCGAATGTTTAGAAAGACTGCGCGCGGCGCTAAGGCGAGAGCCACATTTTGAAAACCACCCGCCCTCCATCTGTGAAGCCGTTGCCAAGGTTTAACCCTCAGGGTGGTAAATGGTGAGGTAGTCTCAGTCGAAACGCCCGGCCCGCCCTAAAGACTGGGCCTCGGGGTGCGGCAGGGAGAGGAAATGTTTAAAAGGAAAAGAGATGGAGGAGGAGGAGGAGGAGAAGGAGGTGGAGGAGCAGGAGCAGGAGGAGGAGGAGGAGGAAGACGAGGAGGAAGACGAGGAGGAGGAGGAGGAGGAGGAGGAGGAGGAGGAGGGTCGGCCGCCAGCTTCTGGAGGAGGAGGAGGAGAAGAAGGAGGAGGAGGAGGAGGAGGAAGAGGGGGAGGATGAGGAGGAGGAGGAGGGTCGGCCGCCAGCCCCTGGAGGCAGAGTTTCCCGCAGCTGGGGCCCAGCAGCTGGGGCCCGGCAGTGGCCCTCCGCGTGTCCCTCGCCTCTCGCGCCTCTGAGCAGCACCCCCCCCACCCCTGCATCCTTCTCCTCCTCCTCCTCCTCCCTCCTCCTCCTCCTCCTCCTCCTCCTCCTCCCTCCCCCTCTCTCCCTCTTCCCTCCTCTCCTCCCTCCCTCCCTCCCTCCCCCCTCCTCCCCCTCCCCCTTCCCCTTCTTAGAAGGCGCGGGCCTCGTCTGCAGATGTGGGGCCGGCGCCTTCTCAGAAGCAGCCTCCTCCTAAGCCTTGCCCCCTCCCCCTGGCCCCCCCTCTGCGCGCCGCCAGCTCGCGCGGGCGGCGGCGCGCCGCCAGCTCGCGCGACACGGGCCTGCCCGCCAGGCCACCGTGTCGAGACTCGGGGGTCGAGGAGGAGCGAGGATCGTGCTGTCGAGGGGCGGGGATAATCGGGCTGTTGAGGAGCGGGGCGGAGCAGGCAGTCGAGGAGCGGGGCGGATGGGGGTCGAGGATCGGGGGTCGAGGAGCGGCGAGCATGGAGGGTCGAGGATCGCGGGGGACCGAGGGTCGAAGAGCCATGGCCCCTCGTCTGCTCTCGCGTCCTCGTCTTCCTCATCCTGCTTCTCCTCCTGGTCATCATCCTCATTCATCCTCTCACCACCTCCTCCTCCTCCTCATCCTCATCCTCCTCCTCCTCCTCCTCCTCATCATCATCATCATCATCATCATCATCATCATCCTCATCAGCCTCATCCTCATCATCATCAGCCTCATCCTCATCATCGACAGCATCATCAGCATCATCATCATCACCATCATCTGTATCGTCATCATCAGCATCATCAGCAGGATCATACTAATCAGCATCATCAGCGTCAGCATCATCATCAGTAGCATCATCAGCATCAGCATCGCCATCATCATCATCATCATCGTCATCATCATCATCATCGTCGTCGTCGTCGTCATCATCATCATCATCATCATCATCATCATCATCTCATCATCATCATCGTCATCATCATTACTATTATCAGCATCCCTTATCTACCTCCTCCTTCTCCCATCTCGCCCCTCACGTGCTCTCACGTCCTTGTCGTCTTCCTCCTCATCAGCCTTTTCCTCATACTGCTCTCCTCGTCCTCCGCATCCTTCCCCCCCCCCTCTTCCCCCTCCCCTCCTCCCCCCCTCCCCCCCTCATTCTCATCCTCCTCCTGCTTCTCCTCCTCCTCCTCCTCCTGCTCATCTTGCTCCCCCTCATCACCATAAATAGCAACACTAAGAAGACGCCTCACCATCACCACCACAACAACTATATGTTCAAGCAAATCGTAAGGACATCCAGAGCGAGAGCGTGATTCCTGACTGTCGAGGGCGCGGCGTCTGAAGAAATCGCAGGGAAGTGCCACCCGAGAGCGCGATTCCAGCATACAGCCCGAGGAAGTCCTGCGCGAGAGCGCGATGTTGGAAGAAGTTGTGCATTGTTGTTGTGGTAGTCCGGGGGACAACCCGCAACTCTGAGGAGCAAGACTGTCCCTTGGAAAAACGAGTTGCGAGTCCCAGCAGGAGCACTCTCGTTGAAAAACACAATGGGCACCAGACGGGGGGGACTGCAATATGTGTTATTCAGAAGATGAGAATTCAACCACATCATCATCATCATCATCATCATCATCAGCAGCATCATCATTATCAGCAGCAGCATCGTCTACAGCATCATCACCATTATCAGCATCAGCATCAGCATCAGCAACATAATCATCTACACCATCGTCTACATCATCACCATTAGCATCATCTGCATCGGCATCATCATCTACATCATCATCATCATCATCATCATCATCATCATCATCATCATCATCATCAAGTCATCATCATCATCATCATCATCATCATCATCATCATCATCATCATCAGCAGCAGCAGCAGCAGCAGCATCAGCATCAGCATCAGCATCAGCATCAGCATCAGCATCGTCATTGTCGCCGTCGCCGTCACCGTCCTCCGCCTCCTTCTCCGCCTCCTGCTCCCCCTCCTCCTCATCATCATCACCTCCCACCGTGGCCCCTCCCTCACTGCCAAGGTCATCCTCCATGGGGACCCTGTCGTGAAAGCCATCGTTGCCCCGGCAATCCAACGTGCCAACGTTGTGTGGAGAGCCGCCGCACGACCCTCGCATGCCGCCTTCTCTGTTCGGGAACTTGTGCGCATCTTCCAGCAGGTGGCTCTTCAGGTTGAAGGCGACTCCCGCTGGAGGAACAGTACAGGCCCAGTGTACCGCAAAGGGTGGCAGGTCCAGCATTTCTCTTGTTGGGAGGATTATTTAGAGACGGAGGTCGATCTTGTGTATAGCTTCCTTGCCATGGTCGCCTCGCTTCGTCACCAGGGAGTCCAAAGGCACCATGAGCGGCGCATGGCTCAGCAGCTCATTGGTTTATCTGGTGATAGGGCTCACGTGGGTCCTATTCAGACCATGGTGTGCAGTAGTAGGAAATTAACCCGAGGGCCAAGTTTTGGATTGCTAATTGGTTCTGCAGCTGACTCTGGACCCAAGATAGATGTGCCGCCTCGGGGTACCAGATCTATGGACCCTGCCCTATGTGCGGACAGCCCGTTAAACAGAATTTAGAAATACAGGCACCCAGATGTGGTGCAGGCTCGGGAGGCCGGTACTTCCCCAGAGTGTATTGTGGAGGCGTGCGTTTCCAGCTCGGATGAGGTTATGTGTTGGATCAGGCTGATGTTTTATCACCCGGCGTCTTCTTGGCCAGCACCGTGTTCTCAAGTCGCATGTGTGTTTGAAGATCCTCAGGGGGGCCCGTTTCCGCTGGAAGCTCCGAGGGATGTACAGGACTGTGCCGTTGTTGTCGACGGCTGTTGTTCAAGGCACCCGATCCGAGACCTCTGCCGAGCCTCGTATTCAGGCGCACTGGTAGGAGAGGGTTCAACCATTCGCGCCAGGCCGCAAGGTGTTGGTCGGGACGGACTTCCCTAGACACCTCAAGCAGGTGAGCAATTCTTGGTGGTCTCCAAACCAGGTGGTGAGACACCCGGTGGTGACCCCGATTCTCCCCAAAATAATCCTGGGTCACCGCCGGGTTTGGGGACACGCGGTCGCCACGAGGTTTTGCGTTTTCTGGGCCAGCCAGCGCTCGAAAACCATTACCCAAATCGCCCAAAACTCATCACCGGGTGTTCTCACCACCACGTTTGGGGACCACCAAAATTTGTTCTGGCCATGCTGAGCTGTTTTCCTCGTGGTCCCTTGCCGCCCCACTCTGACTGTTCAGGCGCCGCCAGGCTTCCGGGGTCGGATCCAGCCGCCCAGCGTTCGCACAAGCATCTGTATATGGGGGCGCCTGTGGAGCTGCGCTGCAGCAGGACAACCATCATTTTGCACTGCTTGCTCAGCATACCTATGTCAGCCGAAGCCATGATCTTGAGGAGGCGCTGCTGATGAAGGAGCGTCGGATTGCGTTGGGGAGTGTTGCGGAAGGTCGAGATCCCAAGCGTGCGTGTTTCGAGTATCCCCAGCTTTCCGCTAGCGAGGCTCGGATGGCGGATCTGTGTGTTAAGAAAGGTTGGGTGATTGCTAAGGTCATGGCCGCCACTTCACCTCTTGTTCCCAACGTGGAGGTGAAGCGCAATTCTTGCCCAGCCAATCCTAGACGGTACGCCTTTTTGGACAGGTGGCACCATTGAGTATCTATTGGTGAAGGAGGGTTGCCATGCACGCAGTGTTTGTCGATCAGTTTCGATGGTGAACCGTCAATGTTGGGTTGCATAGGCCTCCCC